GAGTATTATAAATGGCACATAAGCATAAAAAGGCGCTCAACATCCTAAGTAACTACAGAAATGCAAATTAAAACCACCTATTAGAATGACTAACATGATCATATCAAGTATTGGTGAAGATTTGGCACAACTGGAGCTCATATACACTGTTAGGAATGTAAAATGGTAGAACCACGTCAGGAAAAATTTGGAGGTTTCTTACAAAGTTCAACTTATGCTTACATAGGACTCAGCAATTCTACTTCTAGGTATTTACCCAAAAGAAATAAAGATATTCCATGTAAAGGTTTGCACACAAATGTTTTTAGAAGCTGTATCCATAATACACCAAAACATGAGAACAACATGGATATCACTAACCGTGATGGGTAAATAAATTGTATGAAACCCTACCAAGTCATAAGAAGGAATGGAAAACTAATCATAACAACACGGATGAATCTCAGAACATCATGTTAAGCAAAAGCTGTCAGACACAAAAGAGTACATATGCATGATTCCATTTACATGAAACTTAGGAAAGACTATTCTAACATTTAGGAACAGAGCAGATCAATAGTTGTTTGCAGTGAATGTGCATATGGAAGATCGAATGGGAAGGAGCATAAAGAGAATTGTTCCAGGTGATGGAAATGTTCTGTAACTTGACTGCAGTGGTGGTGATGTGAGTACATACATTTGTCAAATTTTACAGAATTGTATAATTAAAATGCATACATTTTATTGTACAAAGTTATATCTTAATAAAGTTGATTTAAATGAAAAAACTTGAGAGAGCCCAAGCATTTACATTTTTTCTCTCAAAATATTTCTTTTTGGATTTCCACAGGCAACTCCACAAATCAACTTAGTAGGTAAAATAGCTGAGTGACACTGGAACAAACAAGTTATTACTCTGAACTGAGCAATTTTCCTCATCAGTAAAGGGAGTGAATTAGGTTAGATGATTTCATTTGTTCATTCAATAAGCATTTACTAAAGCCCACTATGGGCAAGCACTATGCCAGGTTCTAGAGATATAAAGCTGAAAAAGAAACCAGCTTTTCCCCTTAAGGAAACAGAATGAGTCTAGTGGAAAAGAAAGACAAGCTAACATATGATTAGGATACTGCTTATGTATAATTAAGATATGAGAAGAATTCACAAGAGAAGCAGTCTTCCCTGACGAGGCAAAACCTGAGCTGGGTTTTGAGGTACAAGCAAGAATTAGGTAAGAGATGAGAAGGCATTCCAAGCAAAGAGTGCTATGTGGGCAAAGAGCCAGAGGTGAGAGAGACAGCATGTGTTTAAGGTCCTGCAGGTAGCTTAGTGGGTCTGGAACACAGAATTCATCCTTGTAAGGTCATGGAGTGTCTTGACTGAAAAAAACTTCTGAAAGATTCCTCTAGTTTAACCAGCATGCAGGTAGGAGTCCTGTACCAAATAGTGATACTCATGTTGTAGAGGATCTCCTAAAAGGTAAAATAACTACACCGTCAGTTAGGATCCTTTTTGTGGCAAAGATAATCTTTTGGCTCATGTAACAAAACAGTCCAGGGGTAGACTGGTAGAGTGTGACCTGGGAATTAACAAGGTCATCAGAGCAGCTTCTAACTCTCTGCATTCTTAGGCCATAGCAGCTCCAGATCTTATATCGTCTTTTTTTCATATCCAGTTTCCCTGAAAGGTTAAGAAAGCCTCATAATCAAGTTTCACTGATTTTGCACAACCTTAGACTTTGCACTGGATCCCTGTAGCCAGAGGGATGATACATAATGATGGTTTGGCCAGGACCCAGAGGCCCTGGAAGCGGGAGTCAGCCTCATCTAAAGTACATGGAGGAACAGGTAGATCTCCGGATAAAAATCAGAGTCTTTGGAGAAGGGAGACTGTATGTCCTGAGGAGGAACGAACAAATTCCAACAATTTTTAGAACAAGGCAAGGGGTACAAACACATGGTCAGATTTCTTCTTTCATCGTCCATTCCTAGGACTAGTCAATGAAAACTGACTTCAGGACAAAATGATGTGAGAAAACATATATGCAAAAAACTATCACTACTCTAAGCACCGTATTACTAAATGAGGTTTTATGAGAACAAAGATAAGGGTGTAATTAATTACAGTTTATAGGCTCAAGGGTATCTTCACAACAGAGGAGAGTTTTTTTAGTGGGGCCTTGAAAAATGGAGGTCCACTGGCAAAGATAAAGCACGTGGCCATAGCTGGTTGAGAAGCAGCATGTAATCTGGTGAGGGTGAGGCACAGGATAACGGATCAGTGTAAGAACACAGGAATGGAAAGATCAGGCTGTGGTGAATTCCCCCCACTCTGCTCCAGAGCCTGAACTTTATCCTTTAGGCAACAGGGTATTGTTTAATTTGTAAGCATGGAAGTGACACAATCGAACCTGTATTTAGAGAGCTGTAGGAACAGATTAGATACTTCTGAGACTGAGAAGAAGGAGATAAGCGTAGAGGAATAAAGCTAAGTTGTGAAGTGGAAGGCTGAGGGAGTTCAAGGTTAATGTTCTCTATTTCCTCTGTGAAATAGGTAGAGAGAGGAGGTGATAAATGTAAGGGGGTACTATGCAGTTAAGACCCTGGAAATTTCAACTAGCCAGAAGGTTGCATTACCAAAACATTCTGATCAAAAAGGTTATTCAATAAACTCTTCCATAATATAAGGTCACACATAGTACCTTAATGTGCGAATTGAAATCCAGAAGAGCCAAATACAATCTATTAGGCTATTTCGCCCAAGTGAGAACGCCACGGGTAGGATACCAATGTAATTATCACGGGTCACTCAGATCCTTGTGATCACTGGCGGAGCCTGTGTGAGGCAGTGTCGGGGGCTGGTAGGAGATGGCGCGGGGGAATTCTGGAGGGAGGAGGCAAAGAGAAGTAGCAAGAGGAGCGCAACAAGAGACGGAGTGGACCAGGCAGCCTGTCTTCCATGCAGCACTTCAACAAGCAGCCAGGAGCAGCACATGGCTGACAGGCTATGTGTGGCAGCCTCTCAGGTTTGGCTTTCGAATTCAGACTCAGAACTACTGGCTAGAGCCACCCCTCCTAAATGAAAGGATCTGCTATGCCATGGTTCATTAAATTTTTTTTTTCTTAGAGATATAAGTTCTCAAACTATCAAATGAAGTCACACAAATACTAATGAAGTTGGGCACTCTTCACATATTATTTTCTACAACTTGACCTTAAAATGTTATATGTAAAATCAATTATTGACAACCTCTTGTATTTGTTTGGTGCTTTGTAGTAGTATAATGATAATAAAAAAATAACTTTCAAATATATTTTCTCATTTGGTTTTACTCAACCCTGACAGGTAAACAGAGCAAATATAAAACTTCCAGTTGCCTGTCCTGTCTCCCGTATCCCACAGCCAAATTACAGATAAAAGAGATTAAATTATCTAGGGATTTAAAGCTAGGACAAGAACTCTCCAGTCGAATGTTTCTCCTAATAGATTACCACATTGCTATGTTTCAAACAGTTTATGAATATTCTCCTAAAGAAAGAAACCAAAGGTAGGTGTATCTGTACACATTTGACCTTAATCATTCAGAACTCTTCCTAGCAGTCACAGGTGTGTGCTTGTCCTTGTGATGAAAGTGCATTTGTGGACACAGAATGGCAAAGCATGTGATCATAACCGTATTGCCTTCAAAAGCAATAAAGTGGAGCTTATTAAGAATCAATTACTGAATAAATGGTTATTTGTTTCTTCTAGTCATTATTTAGTTCTCAAAAGTCAACAAGTACCTGATGAATAAAAGCATTTATATAGAATTTCAAATAAATAACTAGTAGTTATATAAAATTCCACCACACTTGTGGCGTGCTAAACCTCATACATTTCCTAAAATATACTCTCTAAATGAAAGACTCAGGAAATAGGTTTGGATAAAACTTTATACAATTCTAGACATTTAGTAAGACTATCAATATATTGATTCAGAATTTTATTGAAATGATTAGAATTTTGAATTTGAGTATAAAATTGAAAGACATTGATTTTTGGACTTCTTCCCACAATCTATCATTCCATACTACAGAAATGCTAGGTTTTCAAGAAGTAATTAAAATAAGACCCTCCACTTGTAACAGGACCGAAATAAGACTGATGCCGTGCACAATGTCTTCAGTCTACTTCTGGTCTCTCTAAGCTGCTCTGCCCTAGAAGTAAATCTTGTGAGACCAAGCTTCAGCCAAAGCGCGCATGGTTTTGATTTTTCACTCCCTCTGCTGAGTCCTTGGGTGTCCCCTTTGGATACTTCCGAAGTAAAAGAATCTGGCAACACACCTCAGCAGTATCAAGTCTTCTAACCAAGAGATGGAGAGTTGAAGGGATCATTCCATAAGTGTCTTTTTTTCAGAAAGTGATGACTAAAACAGTCAGGTGCAAACAACTGTATTTGACTTTCTCCAAGAGAGACCTTTAAGGGAGAAGTAAAATGGAGAGAGATCTAGAAGACCTCTGATGAGAGACAGGTTGTTAAAAACACCAAAGTACATTTGCATTCCTACTAAAAAGCATTATCTTTTTCAAGTCTTCTCACATCTTATCCCACCCCTGCTCTGAGTGAAGAGCAATTTATAAGACAAAATGATTCATTATCTAGAGATAAATTTACAAACTGACATAAGAGAATTCTCCCAGAGGCTACATTACCTATTCAAGTTTATTACAATATCTTTAGTTCTTATTGCATATATAGTTACATGCCTTTTACAAGTCAGGATTATCTATATAGTACGCTCGATTTAGCAGAAGTTATGTCTATTGCTTCTCTCTTGAAAATCAATAGCATGCAGTGCAATACATGGTGTGCAGAGTTACTGTTTCAAAAAGTGAAAAACTACTTAGGTTTAACTGAGAAGGGAACATGATCTTTATTGACTTATATGCAAAGTTTAATTTTGGTTTTATGCAGAGTTTGCATAGTTCATGATTACTTTCTAATGAAAAACTAGATGTATTGTCAGTGACCTTGCAGAAGATCAGGTGACAGTAGCAAACAGAAAAATCTGAAGAAGAGGCATAACTTTTAAAGTAGAAAGGTCAGCAAGAACTGCCTGAAACAAAAAACAAAAGGAATGATTAGTATCGGCATTCTGATCAGCAAAGTGAAGCCTCTGAAATAAACACAGAAAAACCATTACAATGCACTTTTGACATCAACACACTCTGTTTCAGTTTGGTCCCAAATCTGAAGCTACAAACCTTCTTTCTCTTTTCTGAACATCTTAATGTTAGAACGTGTGCAAAATGCTCAAATGTGCAGTAGAAAATAACCTGGACTTTAGCCTTTAGCCTTCCTCAAATATACAAGGTAGCATGAGTTTATAAGAGGTCTGACATTTCAACTTGCTTCTATAAATAAACATACATTATGAATCCTAGTCTTGTTATACTAGTGTAAGGAGTAACTGACTTTAGGAAATCATTTTAAGAAGGAATTAATGTTTATTCAGTTGCAAGATGCATAAACATCCTCTTCCCTTTAAACAAAGAATGCAGGCAGCTATTTTAAGGATAAAATTGCATTTCTATGAGAGATAACAAATAGAGTAATATTGTAAGTCATTACTGAATTGAACCATATTTCAGGTATAAATTATACTATTGAAAAGAAACCAGCCTTAATAATTGACTCGCTACTAAAAATAACCAAAAACCATGTATATTTACTGTATCAACCAAATGTATGCTCTTTAATTCTTCCAACTAGTGTGTCTTTGTTCTATGAGCATAACACATGGATGTGAACAATCATAAGAATATGCAACACAAGCCTCAATAGTTTCTATCAAAATTACTAAGTATCTTGTTTCCCATAAAAGTTATAATGGTTTCTCATAATAACCTTGTTTATGACCCCTTCACAAGAACATTGTTTTCAAATAATTAAGGAATTCTGAATATTTAATATTACTGAGCTTAAAACTTATAGGCATTACTCAAGTTAAAAAATTAGGCTATGAGTAATGTGTGTCCTATGCATTGGAGACTGAAGTACCCAAGCCTGGCAATCTCTCAGCAACTATTTCCATCCCATCTCAGCGAAGCTTATCCTTACTTCAGCTGCAGCCAGTGATGTCACCTCCATCAGGTTCACTGCTCGGAAAGCAAACACAGCAGCTGCCAGGACTGGAAAAGAATGAACACTATTTTAACTGCTGGCCTACTCATCAGCCTGACAACTTTACTGCTATACCCAAAATCCACAATGAGAACTCAGACCTAGTGCTTAACACAACTGCATCCAGTTAAGGTCTGGTGAGGAATGGAAATTTTCTTCTCTGGAGATCAGTATCTGAGGGCAATTCATTTTCTTTGGAAAAAACGAAAATTTTAGTGGTCTTTAAAAAGCCATTTTATAAATTGTTTCTTTTGTACCTACAGCTTCAATTATAACAGCTTTTAAATGGTAGCTATAATGACTGCCTTATGAAGATTTATTGTGATGCAGGTGTTCCTTATTGATGCAATGGAAAGGCTTCTGAAAAGTTACATGTAGACTGAATTTTTAAATATATCAGATAATATTTCATACATATCAAGGTAGTATCTATATGAAAATGTGGCAACAAGTATGTCTTTCCTTAAAAATGTTGTTATACTATTTTGTTATTTATTGACTTTCCTAGAGTGTCATAAATGGGTATGTCTGCTGGGTGGGCTACTGTGGGGATTGATCCTGACATTTACATTAATGTTGGTTATAGGAAAACAGAAGGTGAAACTTTGAAAAAAAAATAAACCAAATCATTATAGAATTTCTTGAAGGTCAATAATATATACTGAGTAGAAAACATCTAGATTTTTGTTCCCATTAGTCATATGCATATGAAAAGAGAGTAATGCTGATATGCATTATGTCTTATTATATAATCTACCATAAAACCGCATGAAAAGGAATGAGTCATCATGAACAATGGAAGGACTCATGTAAGAGCTTCTGGCAACTCTGATAAGGAAACGGTACTGCCCAGAGGTGACTTGACTTCTCCCTATGTTTTTCATCACCATAGTGCACACTGCATTCCCTACCCAACAAGTCCTTGAAGTTTAGGAAATGAATGGTAAGGAATCTTTAAAATTATTTGGAAGACTGGTTCCTAAGTATATTGCATAGATAATGCAAATAATTGTTAAAATACATTTCTACTATGGAAATAATAATCATAAGAGCAGTTTATTCTCATATCAACTCTGTGTTTATTACTATTATTAGCCCCATTTTACTAATGTAGAAACTGAGGCACTGTGAGTTTAGATGACATATTCAGAGTCATACAGGTAGAAAATAATAGAGAGAAAACTCAACTCTGGTCCCAGAGCCCAAGCATTTAACCACTGTGTGATGAAATTTTTGAGACTGAAGGTAAGCAGTAACGACTCATCCCTGACATGGAAATCGATGTGTTTTCTTAACTGTCTTCTCTTCTGACCCTCACAATGGTTTTCCCTTGGGATAAACCATAATGGAGAAGAGATAAAAAAGAATGGATACGTGTCACTTTGATAGCAGAAATTAACACAAAGCTGTAAATCAACATACTTCAATTTTAAAAAATAATGGTTTGCCAGAGATGGACTGAGGATGGTGCATGGTAATCAGTGCTCTGGACCACCTGGTAGGTGACTGTTCCTGGGGAGTAGATGTCAGAATCCAGGTTTCTTAATTTCCCCAGGTAAAGGCAGAGTGACTGGGAAGCACACGTAATTTTTGAGGGGACAACAGAGTTTGGAAAGCTTGCCAAAAAAGTATTAGAACTAGTTAGGAAAATTCTGGAGGAAAAAAGATGGTTGTGGTAAAATGAATAGATTTATTTAAAAGTCAAGTCAGCTGGAATTATTTAATATATAAAGATGGATATAAGAGATCTGGAACAAAGAATTTACCCTTTAACTGCGACTGGTGAAAACTTTAGTACTTTAAAGTCCTTGAGCTTCCATTTTTACAAGAATATCCAAGAAAACCATTTCTGTGGACCAGCAACTTCTTTATAGTTTTCTAATATCTAGAATCATATTTGACAATGGAGACATTTTATAAGCTAAGGGATGTAGTCACTATTTCCTTTTTTGTGTGTAATTTAATGGAGTTGGTGAAAGCTTGACAGGATGGTCAAATTTTCTGCTGTAGCAGGAAAGAGTTTTACATGCTGGGAAATAATTTTTCCAAAGGTAGATAAGAGGGAGAATAAAAGAGTAGTTACTAATTAACTTCAGCATCCAAAATGCTTATGTGCTCATAACCTTTATTTATCTTGGTGCCACATCACAGAAGTTCCTTTCTGTCTACTTCATGTTTGGTTTGCCCAGCCCTTCCACAGAGCAGGCTTATGTGCCAAGGAGAAAAGCTCTATACTTTGGGATATTTTCAACTGAATTCATGTTTTATATGAAATACAGAAACTCAAATGCTTACTTTTGGTATTTTATATTGTTCTCATTAATTTTAAGCAACTCTATCATGAACATTAAGACACCCATGCTTTAAACTGTTCTTCAAAAGACCCGAATAAGTTCACAGTTGAAACCAGTAATATTTACTAAAATATTTCTAAAGATTATATAAACTCATTTGAGCAAAAAAGTTGGTCTCAAAATATTCTATTCTAATATACTCAGATGAAAAAAATGTCTAAAATGATCAAAACTAACCTCTATACATGTGTGCACGCATGCTCAGTCATGTCTGACTCTTTGAGACCCCATGGAGTGCAGCCCACCAGGCTCCACTGTCCATGGAATTTTCCAGGCATCTACATGCAATTATTTGCCTTATGTCTCTTTATCTGAATTCCATGGAAGGATTTCCCATCAGTCTAATTGCATTTCTAGATGTTCTACAATTCTTCCCTGTTGGTTTTTTAAAAAACATTCTGAGAAAGTGAGATGTAACAGTGTGGATTGTCATTCTACCTATGAATCAATAACTTATTAACGTATTAAGCATGCAGCAGAGTGCCTGGCTTAGAGCAAATGCAGCATTCAACATTCATTCCTCTTTTACTTCAGTTTGCTGAGGGCATGATAAGTCACAGAAAGGGGGAATTTAAATTAGAAGAGGCTTTGAGGTCTTCTAGTTTAACATTTCTTTCACGATAGAAAATCTCTTAACCCTTCAGATGACAGTTAAAAAGCCCATTCTACTTTTTGAAAGTCCTATATTATTAGAAAGTACTTTCTAATACTTAGCCCATTTCTTTAACATGCTCTAATATCTTTTTGAAATGATACAAAAAGTTACATATTAATACAATGCTCTTCAAAATTTGTGAACACCAAGAAGAATTATTTCGTGGAAAATCTTAAAATCCTGTCACCCAAGAAATGTTAGCAAAAAACAAGACTATTTAGCCTGGAAAATAGAAGACTTTGGGGAAAGAAGGGGGTGAGAGAGTAGAAAAAACATGATTATCCTAGTGCAACAGTAGTATATTTTAACAAGTTATATTATCCAGAAATGAAATAGGCCACTTAGTAAGACAGGGATTACCCAACACTGAATGTTCAAACACAGGATAAGTATTACCTGCCAGAAATATTTAAAAGAAGCTATACTTGATGATCTCTAGGATTCCTTCTATCTCTAGATGGTATGTATCACAGCCATTCAGCCAAAAGAGGTGATGACAGACCATTTTTTTCCCCCTAACTCATACTTATATTGGCTTTAAAAACAATTGAGATGGAAGGATACTGGGAGTTATTAAAAACTTTGGTAAATGATAAGTCTGATTACACCAGGGGCAACAGTTATTATCTTCATGGCACTTTATTATTATGCTAACTTTCCTTTCAAAAATATCACCTAATTACTCTAGACCTCTCAGCACTCAAAAATATGTTAATACGGTACCTAGAGAATCTTTTCCAGGAACAGTCTTCAATTAAGCATTATTTCCAAGTGGTCAAAGAGGTGACTTTACAATGCTGTCACTGGGTAAAGAAATAAAGGCTCTCATAGCTTAAATAATTTGCTCATATCACACAACTGGAGAAGGCTGGAACCAGCACTCCGGCAACTTTTCAGCTCTCCACCCGTGTGAAAACCCTGTCATATTTATTTGAATTCCCTGATAATCCTGGTGATAGAAACAATGGAATCTATTTTACATGCAGAGAAGCAAAATAATATAAGAAATCTGTGCCATATGTGTTATCATACAGTTGCCCTCTGTGTATATCTGTTGTAAGAACTGCTTAATTATTAAATAAGAGATGAGTTTGTGACTTTCTGAAAAAAATGTTGATTTTTTTTGACTTAAGAGGATAAGTAAAAGGGGACACTTTTATGTATTACTCACGGACAGAGATTTCAACTATGCAGGGAGGCTCAGTCTTGGTTTGGCTTTTAGGTAGTGGCTGAGAAGGGGCACAGAACAGAACGAGAAGATAATCAGAGGAGCCAGGAGAAGAAGGAACATGGACCGACACTCTGCTGCACAAACCTCATAGGTGCTGAGACTGAACAAACGCTCTGGCTGGACTAGAAGCAGGGGAGGGGAGATTGACATTCCTGGAAGCAATGAAGAAAGACTAGGAATAAACAGGTGACGGGCAGTTCCACAGGCGTATTTAGATTGCAGAACATCAGTCCTGTCTTCTAAGGCAGATAAATCGACTAAACGTTCATGAATTAGAGATGACAGACAACTGTAGATTCCAATTCCAATTATAGATGGTAAATGTTAGAAAGAAAAGAAGGGTTTTACTATAGAAACATGTGTTTTATGAACAAGCACTTACTCTTACCAGCAAGAATTTCCAGAGAGTTGTATCCTAGGATTCTGTCCCACAAAAGCAAGAGTTGATCTGTAGCCAAGTATCCAGAGAAAGCTCTAACCATCCATTTAAATGATATGCGAAGTCTATAAACAAAGAAAAACAAGATATTTTACCAGTGGAAGTTTTTCTCATCAAAAAGCAATTATCAGAAGAGCTCAACGAGTTACAATGACAGTAACCCCTTTGTGGGTTTTAAAAATCACAGTCATTTAAAACTCAAGTACTCTACACATATACAATGGAATACTACTCAGCCTTAAAAAAGAAATAAAATAATGGCATTTGCAGCAACATTATTAGAGATTACTCTACTAAGTGAATTAAGTCAGAAGAGAAAGACAAATACCATATGATATCACTTATATGTGGAATCTAAAATATGAATCTTGAATCAACTTATATACAAAACAGAAACAGACTCATAGATATAGAGAATAGACTTGTGGTTGCCAAGGCCAACAGGAGAAGGATGGATTGGAGCTCAGGATTAGCAGATGCAAACTATTATATATTGAATGTATAAACAACAAGGTCTCGCTGTATAGCAAAGGGAGCTATATTCAATATCCTGTGATGAAACATAATGGGAGAGAATATGAAAGAGAATATATATATGTATAACTCAATCACTTTGCCATACAGTAGAAACTGCCACAAACATTGTAAATTAACTATACTTCAATAAAATAAATTTTTAAAAATTCAAGTACTCTATTAACAGCTGTAAAAATTCAGCTGAGAAACCTTGAGTTCCCAAATTAGTGCTCTCAAAAGTATTAAGAGAAAGAATTATATTCCCGAGCCCTACTTTATGTTGTAGTTCATTCTTTAGAAAACTCACTTCTACATTTTGTTTTTCAGGGTGTGTACTAATTAGCTATCAATGAGGTGATCTTATAGTCTTAAGAGTTCCAGGCAAGCCAAGATTATTTGAATTTTTATTCAAGATACTTAAATGAATACTTATCAGTTCAGTTCAGTCGCTCAGTCATGTCTGACTCTTTGTGACCCCATGAATTGCAGCACGCCAGGCCTCCCTGTCCATCACCAACTCCCGGAGCTTACTCAAACTCATGCCCATTAACTTGGTGATGCTGCCATCCAGCCATCTTATCCTCTGTCGTCCCCTTCTCCTCCTGCCCCCAATCCCTCCCAGCTTCAGGGTCTTTTCCAATGAGTCAAATAAATACTTATAGCTGCATATTTTTCTAATTCAATAAACTATATTCCTAAATTTCACTCAATGGCTACTAAGGATACAAAAAAGACAAGGAAAAATAGTTTTAAAGCTGTAAGGGGCCTCCCAGGTGGTGCTAGTGGTAAAGAACCCACTTGCCAATGCAGGAGACATAAAGAGACATTGGTTTGATCCCTGGGTTGGGAAGATCCCCTGAAGAAGGAACTGGCAACCCACTGCAGTATTCTTGCCTGGAGAATCCCATGGACAGAGAAGCCTGGTGGGTTACAGTCCATGGGGTCGCAAAGAGTCAGAGATGACTGAAGCAACTTAGCAAAAGAAAAATAAAATAGAAAAGCTATAAGGGAACTTAGAAATAGAATTCTGATTTCAACCTACTAGTTTTAAAAAGGAGGTTATCAGAACTCTGAAAGATCAACCAGAAAATTCAATTAATTCTATTTTGTGCCAAAAAAAAGATCCTAAGAAGTATGAGATCCTGATGTTTCTTTTTCTTTTTTTCTGAGATCCTACTGTTTCATAACGAGGTTATGTTACAATAATATTTTATCTCTAGAATCAGGAAACAAACCTGGTTTTGGTGCCTGAAGAGATAAAATACTCTCTCGTATTTCTCTGCTATATATTAGCAATTAAATATCACTTGACTGCCCCTGAGAGGTTTTAGACAAATTCTTTGTTGAAACTGTCATAATATTATATAAATACCAGTACTTTTTCTTAAAAGAGAAAATGGGATCCAGAGATTGCCTTTGTTGATGTCATACTAATTTTCCTAAGATTGAAAAAGGACCCCCAAGTTTCAGAAATTCCTCAATATTATATAACTATTGCTCTAATATAACAAAGTACATGTAGGCAGTAGTATTATAAGTCAAGTCTCTTGGTTGGTTTTAGAATACCAGTTTATAGATGCCAAAAAACTTTTGGCCAGTGAATGTTTTAAATTTAAAAAGTTCACTAATTCCCTGGCATGCCCTTAGGACTCCATGCTTCCACTACAGGGGACCTGGGTTCAATCCCTGGTCGGAGAACTAAGATCCCACAAGCCATGCAGCGTGGCCCAAAACAAAACAAATTAACTTTTAAGTCTAAATTATTAACTTCAACTAGTTTCATTTTATGGATCTCTCATAGTGTCTTTTTAGACCAACAGTACCACATACCATGCCTCCCTGCTTCCTAGTATATCTAGCACAGAATCAGTTTCTTAACTACAATATTGCAAAGTAATTAGCCTCCAACTAATAAAAATAAATGAAAAAAAAAAGAAATAAAGCTTGTTGAGGTATAATTTATATACAGTGGAATTTGCTTTTATTAATGTACAATTTTGAGTTTTGTTAAAACCAAATAGAAATTTTAGAACTAAAAAATACAAAAGCAATAACAACAACAAAGCAACCCTCACTGGATGAATCCAACAGCAAAATGGAAATAAATGATGAGCGAGCCGGTGAATTTAAGTATAAGTCAATAAACAGTGTCCAAATCTGAACTACATAATGAAAAGAATTGAAAATTAAATGAAAAGAGCTTTAGAAACCTGTGGGATAAGACCAAAAGTTTTAATATTTTCTTCCAGAAGAAAAGATGAATGTGAGTGGTACAGAAAAAAAATATTTTAAGAAATAATGGTTGAGGGAAAATGGATACATGTATATGTATGGCTGAGTCCCTTCGCTATTCACCTGAAACTACCACAACACTGTTAACTGGATATACCCTAAAACAAAATAAAAAGTTAAAAGTTTGGGGAAAAAAAGGATGAAACCTAAAAAAAGAAACAATGGTTGAAAACTTCCTAAATTTGACAAAAGAAATAACCCTCCAATTCAAGATGTTCAACAAACCCTGAACAGGATAAACCCAAGAAATCCATGTCCAGATATATCATAAACTGTTGAGAAACAAAGGCAAAGACCTTGATAGCAGTCAGAGAAAAACAATAATTGATATTATTCCTCCCTGAAATGTTTGGTTGAATTTGCCTGTGAAGCCCTCCAGGCCTGGAGTTAATTTGAAAATAGAATGTGATACATTAAAGATGTATATTGTAAATCCTGCATAAAGTATTTTTTAATTAAGGCATGTACATTTTTTAGTGATAATGCTATGGGATTTCCCAGGCAAGAATACTAGAGTGTGTTGCCATTTCCTTCTCCAGGGGATCTTCCTGACCCAGGGGTCAAACCCATGTCTCCTACACTGCAGGCGAATTCTTCACCTGCTGAGCTGTCAGGGAAGCCCAAGGCACTGTCATAGCCTGAATGCCTGTGTACCTACCCCTACCCCAAATTCACTGAAACTACCTGCAGTGTGATAGTATTAGGAAAGAGATGTGGCCCTTGGAAGTCAATTAGCATTAGATAAAGTTATGAAATAGGTTCTCATGATTGGGATTAGTGACTTCATAAAGTCATATGACAGCGTGTTTTTCCTCTCTGCTCTCCATCACATGAGGATACAATGAGAAGTCAGCAGTCTGCAATCGAGAAGAAGGTCCTCTCTGGAACTCAACCAGGCTAGCAACTTGATTTTAGACTTCCAGTCTCCAGAACTGTGAGAAATAAATTTCTGTTGTTTATAAGCCATACAGTTTATAGTAATATGTTGTATCAGACTGAACTAAAAGTGACATTATCAAAATATATTTTTTAAAAGGTGTAAATAATAATACTGGAGATAAAAATGGAATAAAAAATATTCAAAAGTAGGCAGGAAAAGAGGAAAAAAAAGAATAAAGAGCACATGGAACAAAGAGGTCTATCAAAATAGTAAATAGTATCAACTGTTATTATTTTAACCCAATATCAATTACATTAAATATAAATGGAATAAACACACCAATTAAAGATAAACTGCCACAATGAAAGACCTGAATATACTTTTGATAAGAAAGCCACCTGAAAAGTAGAGACATTGATAATCAATACACTAAAAGTAGGACAGAAAAGAATACACTATACAAATTCTAATAAAAAGAAAGCTGGAATGGCTACATCTGACATAGTTCAGTTGTGTCTAACTCTTTGCGATCCCATGGACTGTAGTCCGTGGAATTCTCCAGGCCATAATCCTGGAGTGGGTAGCCTTTCCCTTCTCCAGGGGATCTTCCCAACCCAGGGATCAAACCCAGGTTTCCCACATTGCAGGCGGATTCTTTACCAGCTGAGCCACAAGGGAAGCCCGAGAATACTGAGGTCCAATTTGAACCTGATGATGCCCCTATCTGGGCATCAATTCTCCTAAAAACAGTGTCAAATATATGAAATAAATATATATATATATATATAGCAATGTAGAAACAAAAGGACAAATTCATAGTTATAATTGGAGACGCTAACACTTCTTCCTCAATAATCAATAGTAGAAAAAACTTGACTTTATTACCACTTATAGACATTCTGCTCAATGCTAGCAGAATATTAATTCTTTTCAAGTATACATTAAAGATTCATCACGGTAGCTCATATTCTGGGTCATAAAACAAACTACAACAACATTTAAAAGAACTAAAATCTTAAGAAGCATGTTGTCTAATTGTAATAGAATTAAAATAGAAATCAATAACAGAAAGATACCACATTTTTTCAAATACTGGGAAATTATTTAAACAATGTACTTTTATATAAATTATGGTCAAACAGGAAGTGACAAGAGAAATTAAGAAAGATTTTGATTGAATGAAAGTGGAAACATAAAATATCAAAATTTGTTGAGTGGAGGTAAAACAGTGCTTTGAGGGAAATTTATAACATTACTGTTGCTTATATTAGGAAAGAAATATCTGAAATCAATTCTCTAAATTCCATCTTAAGCAAGCAGAAAGATGAGCAAAACAAAGCAAAAACAAGCACCCAGAATTAAAAAACAAATAAAAGAGGATAAATCAAAGAAACTGAAAATAGAAAATCAGAAAATCAATGAAACCAAAACTGATTTTTTTCAAAGAATAAAATAAATAAGCCCTCTGACCAGAATAATCAAGAAACATAAGATACAAATATCAATCTCAGGAATGAGGCAGATAGTGTCACTCTGATTTTAAAGATAGTAAGAGACTAATTAAGAATAATTATGGAATATTGTGGATAATTTGTCCATACATATGATAACTTAAGATAAAATGCACAGAGTACTCAAGTAGAAGGAGATATCCTGAAAAGTCCTATATCTAGTAAAAAAATTAAATTCTAATTAAAACTTTCCAATAGCATTAATTTTAATTCATAGTACGAGTCTTTTAATAATTGATTTCTAGCCTGACAACTGAATTTTTTTACTTTCCTTTTGTTAGGTAGTTAGAATAGGGAAAAGCAGTGCAAAATGGCAGTGGCTAAAAGACAAGGAAGGGAAAAGCCCTCGAAAATAGAACAGAGGAAGGTCAAAGAAAGTTCCGAGGACCGGAGTGAGGACTTCAGGTAGAACAGCACTCCTGCCTGAGCCCAATCTGCACAGGGCAGGCCCAGGGGGAAGAAAAAACATATAAAAGGAGGAGCCAAGCGCTCTCTCTCTCTCTCTCTGCCGCGTCCCTATGCTCTTTCTCTCTCTCTACCCGCTCCTCCACTCTCTCCTCTTCTTTGAGGATGGATTCTCCTGCTATGTTCTAAATAAAATAGAGCTGTAACCCTGATTTGTCTAAGAGCTATGACACCGTTTGTCCAAGGCCCAAGAGCTGTGATGGGCCAATAGCTTTAATGTCCGTCGCTCCCAATCATTGTTGTGAGGAGACAAGAACCGAGACGCATACACTCGCCTGGCACCTTTCATTAGAATTTTGATGTTTACCATAATTTATTGAAATAAATTTGTTCCTCTTAATGATTAAAGTATATGAATAGACTAGTAAAATATCAGGATTTTAGTTATAACAATAAACTAAATGTCCAGTACAGAAAAGCATAGATATATACAAATATTCGTTTCACAATAATAAAAAATTAGGTCAGTTTACCACAAGAAAAAAGATACATGTGTAATATGATATTTCTGCCACAATTTTGTTTAATAATAATAATTTTTAACATAATTCTATTTTTTATTGGCCATAAAAGAAAGATTGTCAGGTATTGTCAATAAATTATATGAGGTACACAGAGAGGAAGATAGTAACAAAACACTGGTAAATCATTTGGAAATTTCTGTTGCCATGAACATTGTTAACTGAAAAAGAGAAAAGAGAACCAGCAATGATGAGGTCCACAGGTACCTGACCTATTCACTGATAACTCGTACTGGGATATTTACTGATAACTCATACTGAGATAAATAAACAAAAATTCAAGCTTTTGGAAGGAAAAATCACAGTGTACAACCATTAGTAGATAATTGATTTAGTTTTCATTTAATGAAAGATAGCAAACTTTAACTGATCTAGCTTTCAAAGTTGTCTTCTGATAAATCTGGCCCAAACTGACAATTTTAGTTATTATCATATTTCTCAGGCAGCATTCGTTTCCACAGATTTTTACCTTAGTTTGGTCACCATCTTTCACTATGAACACGAATTAGTTCTCTGGTGATTCTTGTACCAAGCACAAAAATCCAAGCAAATAAGAATTTATCAGGATTTTGGTAAGCCTTCCAAGAATTTTTGGCACAATGTTGAGTTATAATTTACTACTTGATAATTATTGTTTTGGAGAAGGAAATGGCAACCCACTCCAGTATTCTTGCCTGGAGAATCCCAGGGACAGAGGAACCTATACACACAGGCTGCTTCTGTCAATTTCTCAGACTTTAAGAGTGAACTTTTTAACCTGCATATCATTAGGTCACTCCTTTACCCTATGTGTTAGATCCTAAAAGTTCGCTGGCACCTCGTTGTGTTAAACCAACTACTCTGTACCTCTTTCTCGGAGAAGGCAATGGCAAGCCACTCCAGTACTCTTGCTTGGAAAATCCCATGGACAGAGGAGCCTGGTGGGCTGCAGTCCATGGGGTCGCACAGAGTCGGACACGACTGAGCAACTTAGCAGCAGCAGCAAGTATTGTTTTATTGGGAAAATGTTAATTTCTCTGAAAAAAGTCACTGCACCTTTGATGATTAAAAAGAGCCTTCTGATGTCAATCTATTCTTCAATTAGGAGAGAAAAATACTCACGGTTGAGCCCCAATTTCTCGCAGATGATAGAAGAGTTGGGGGAGATAAGTTTGCAGAAGAGTTTCAAACAGCAGACAGAGGGACACAATACCCTGGATACAATAAGTCACAAGAGAAAAGCATAACTTAGTATTTAAAAATGAACTCTGCCATCAAATCACTCAAACAGAAATGACGAAAAGATGATCAATATCAGTATTGTTTAAGAGCCAAAGACAGGAAATGCACCAATGAGCTCTAAAACATTAAAAATAAGTTTATCCCTAACTCACTCTTATAAATATGCTAAGGAGCCTCCTTTTTAACAAGAGGCTTCCTGCATAAGCTGGTATATAGTAATGTTCAGAATTCAAGAAAAACATCATTTTCTAGAAAGCCTGCTACTCTGTAAGTCATACATTATCATTAGGCTCAGCAGAATTAGTTTTTCTGGATGCAGTCCAATTTCCAGGTATTTCTCTAGCGCTGTAGCCACACCCTTCACTTTCTGCCTCCACATGTTCCTTTCTTTCAGCTGCCTCACCCATCAGGGAAAATATTTCCTGCTTTTTTTACTCTTTCACTGAAAACCATCCCCAGGGAAAGACTAACTGCTTGAAATTTCTGTCAGGAAGCCATCACACAAGAATGTTTGATTACTGAGTATAAGGATGTTTTTTTAAAAAACTGAAATCTACTTTTTTTTAAAAGGGCATTGTACAGTACAAAGCAGATGGGTTTTCAAGTGCATTAATTACTTGACAACTCTGAATAAAGTCTTTCTTGCAGTTCAGCATTCCTCAGGGTTGTTCTTTGTAAGGAAGTTCTAATCCTCTTTTTGAGTTTCTGAGTTTCTAGAGAAGTAAGGCTGTCGTGGTTCTAAACAGTTCAGTCTGGCTGCAATTCAAAAAAGGAGATAACCGCCTGTAAGCCTTTATTTCACTGAATAAAGAAAGGGCAGAGGCAGGGCTGTCCCAATCGGTCAGCAGGAAGAGGGCAGTTTAGGGTCAGCATGGAGGCACAGAAGGAACAGCCAGAGTTTTAAAAATGGAAAAAAAATTTTTTAAAGTCTGATGTGTGAAAATAAAACATGAGAATAAGAAATCTGATGCTAAGTATGACTTATTAGAAAAGAGAATTATTAATATATTTTTGGTTATTCTAGATTAAACATTATTGCAATACAGACACTAAACCAAGTTATCTCAGAGAGAAGAGACCCATGAGAATTTTGTAGCACTTCATTTGCTCATCTGTGACATCCTGGATTTCTGTTATTTGCCAGCTTCCATCAGCAATGTTTGAGAGCAACACTAGAGACAGAGGAAGGTGGACTGGGAACACACAGGATTAAAATGGGGAGGAGGTATGATGAACCGCTATTTAGTCCAGTAGCAGTGTGACAATCTTCTCTTTCAGAAAACTTGGTAGCTCTGACACATTCCAATTTTAATGTTTCTTTGGGAGTGTCAGTCAAGTTACTCACAAGCAGACCAAAGCGGGCCCAAAGACAGAAAAAGTATAACTGAAATAAATACTTGTTTTTACTCAGGTTAAGGGGGGTAGGAGTGGGGAGGGAAGATACGATAAAGGATTGGCCAAAATAAGACAGATACGAATATTCAATTCCCAATATGTTTCTCCTTGAATTTCTTGTTAAGGCCAAGGAGTCATCTATTGAATAAACACAAAGAAAATATCTAGTTTGATAAAGGATAATTAGTCAAACATGATATTGAAAAATAAGGGACAAATACCTGTTTAATTTTCATTGACAAAGATGATGATGATGATCATAATGACAATAAAAACAACAGCCATCTATTTACTGAACACTTGCCACGAGCCAAGTACTACCCAAGGGCTTCATACTCTTTACAGCACCACAGAAACTCAGCATTAACCTCATTTCAGAGATGAGGAAACCAAAGTTCAAAAAAAGTAGCCATCTTTGTCAAAGAAAACAATACAGACATTGCTATGTTTATTCTTTCAACATATAAAAGATAATTTTTAAATGCAAGTAATAAAGGACTTTTTCTCATCATTATTACTAAAACTATTTAAGTATCAATTTATTCTTTCCTTTTTTCCATAGGAAAGTGATGCTTCACAATTTGTTTTTCTTAAGGTAAAAAAGAACAAATCAGAGTCTGGTTTGATCCAATTTTTATGAACTTACAGAAGGATGAGAAGAGATGGAATGAAGCCTGAAGAAAAAACGCACATACATCTCACGGAATATCTGATACAGTTTGGAAGGTTCATGGTATAGAAAACAAAGTGGTGCAACTGAAAGAACAAAAAAAATTAATTGATAATATTGCAGAACTACTATAATTGAGAAAATAAGTTCACAAAACATAAAGAATAAATATTTCATAGTAATGATATTCATTCAAGTTTAAAATCATATACATTCTTTTTTCATGTTGAAAAGGGAATATATGCACATGTAAAAACTGTCATTAAATTTTTTTTAAATGGAGTAAATTATAAAATGTTTTATAATCCCAACAGTAGAATAACACAATGGAACCATATAAGGGTATCAAAAATTCAAAGTAACTTTTAAAAATTACATAAAATCTCTCTCTTTTTAAATTGAAGAAATAAGAAAGTGACATCCAGGCAATTCATTTTTACTTTGTCCCACAAAGCATCTTTCAAAATTTTTAATTTTTGACATCAGGTAAGTAAAATATAAAATGATTTATGACTAGCTTTTAGAAAGTTGGTCTTCAACTGATGGAATTTGAAAATTAAAATTCTGATTAACAGGCTACTGGTCAACATTGGCATATCCCAATATGTTTCTAGACAGTTTTCATGGGCTTAAAGTAAAACAACTCTTAGAATGTACTTCTCTAGTGAATTTTTTGTGTGTTTGTGATAACAATCTGTTTCTCTAATGAATTTGGATTAAGTTTTCTTTTGCACTGTTTGTGGCAATTAGGTGGGTCAGCTCAACCAGCGAGTCCACAGCTGAATGTCAGAAAGTCAGATTTTAAAATCAGATGCCAACCTGACAATATGATTATTTCATCTGTGAATAGGCAGGAGTCAGTGATGTATTTTGTACCCTGAGAATTGTTAGAAAGTTTAAACTTCCTGACATCATTAACTGTTCTCTAAATCGCTCAAGTACACCTTTTAAAAACTATTTACTTGAAAAATGCTTGCAGTTGGGATTATTAAAATAAAAGGATTAAAGGGCTTACATTTTATTATTAGAGGTAAAAATTTATATTCTTAACCTTGCTAGGTTTTCTATTTTAAATTCCTCACATATTTATAAAAGAGAAATATGCTAGAACCTCACTATAATAATATGTATTATGTTATGAAATTTTGGCCGCTCAAGAGAATAAAGCCAAGAGAAGCATAATGCAAAATTCCTAGACACTGAATCCTTTTCATTGTATGCTGGTTTTAAAAGTTTTATATTTTGTCATTCACCATGATGGTCTGATGCTGAACACTCAAGGGTTTTTTTGTTTTGTTTTGTTTTTTTTACAAAGAAAAGTGTTAATTTATTGCTGATTCTTTTTACAAAGGTAAACTTTATATTTGTTTAGTATAACGATTGGGGAGGAGGAATAGTTGGGACAAGAATCTTCAACAAGTTCATATGTAATGCAGATAAATGAAAAATTAAATGGCATTAAGGCAGATAGCGTTCTCCTTCTTGCTTATCTGTGACGCTTCCTGAATTCCTCATTCAAAGACACGTGAGACAAAAGGTGCTCAGGGCTCTCAGACCTGCACACGTGTTTGTCGTGTGTGCTTCAGGATGACCGCAGGCTTCAGTGTGACTGTTGCTCTGCATACCAGCCAGTCTGAAGAAATCATGAGCTCACTCGGTGTTGTCCTTCCCTTTGCATTTTTTCTGATCCAGTATTTTTTAAAAAGACTTACGGGAATTTAAGAATTTTTACAGCTATTAAAACTAAATATCAGTCTGTATTTCTAATTTCCAGTGAATTAGAAAATGGTAAACCATAGAACCATTTTCATGGTATGTTTAATTTCACAAGCAATCATCATCTCAGCAAAATCTTAATTGGACATATAAACAAATACCAAACCCAGTGTTTAAAAGTTCACAATAACACTGTTGAGTGTGTGGGTGATGCAATATAAAGGGTGAGGTTCATGTTCAAATTTTCTAAAGTGAAATAGAAACAGTGAGTATTTAAAAGCCTAACTTACCATACATTGAAAATCCATGAAAAGGGATTACACCTAAAAAAAAAAAAGTATTTCTTTTCAATTAGTATACCCACTGAATTATTTATTAGGTAAACTTTAGGGGATTAAAACCAAAAATAGAGAGCTTTCCTAGTTTTGCTTCAACTTTGTCCCTGAATGTCAGAAAGACTTAGTGGTGGTAACCAACAAAATGATGTGCTTTTTAATAGCTTTAGAGAAGCAATCAAGAGGTTTTCAATACATATCCAGTTAACTTTTTACTGATAAAGCTGAAAATTAAGACTATGAATATATGTGTTACAAAAACAGAACAAGGCAGATCACAGAACCAAGTTTAAGAACTAACTAATGGTCTCAGAAAGTCAATAGATTAAGTCCTTGAAACAACTTCAACCTGTATATTAGATTTAATTTGTTAAAAGATAAGTGAGCATTTCAAGGTACCTCTTGAATAGATATATTCCCTTTAAACTTACCAAAAGTTACATCATAGGATGCAATCTGGAAAAGACATTGGTAGGAATGTGGTACAAATTCAGTGTAATCTTTGGCAAGAATTATAAAAAAGAACACATCCGTTTAAAAAAAATACTTGAAGCCTGACTTGGTGTGCTAAACATCTTGTCACATTCTAAGTGAAAAATTAGAACTTGGACAGCTTAAGTTCAAAACAGAAGTTCTGTAATATACACACCACCATATATCTAACACAGTACTAGATCAGGCTGCAAACACATAAGAAAAATAAGTTTACTATTTTGAAAAATAGTACGGAAATGCTTTATTCATCTGACATTTTCAGAGGCAAAAACATGGTCTTGGCAGAGCCTTGAGAGGTCATCTAGAGTAAGTTCTAAAGTTCTAACAAATGACTGTCCAGTCTCAATCTGAAACACATTCAGCAATAGGAGACACATTAATTCCCAGTGAAACCAGTTAAAATTTTGAACAGGTTTAATTTAGGGGGAGTTATTTCTCATACAGAGTCAAACTCTGGCTCCGAGTAATCCCCACTTACTACTCCTAGTTCTGACCATTAAGGTCACATGGAACAAGCCTAACTTACCTTCTATGAAAACTTTCAGAAACATTGGAGGACACTGACTGTTCTTTCCCCCACTCCCAACACCATCACCACCAGGTTGGGCTTTCGGTGCGTGTTTTTTGTTTTTCTTGTTGTTGTTCTGAGACTTTATGAGTTCCTTTAACAGTTCCCCGGGTGAAGTAGTCCTGAATAATTTCTCTATTCTATTCTCTTCTGGACAAACTATAGTTCACCACAGTCAAAGTGAGGTGACGAAAGCCTTCAAGCATTTTTCTTCCCTACACACCCCAGAGCTAAAGCATAGCACACTTGTGCAGTTGTTTCTGACATAAGTAAAGGGCTGTATTCTTATATCTATTACATTTCCTCTTTGGTGAACTGTTCCGACTTGAGACAATCCTGGATCCTCATCCTGTTATCTAACGTATTCCCTCTTCTTCCTGGGTGTGCACTGCTGGAAAGTTTGATAAATGCACCATCTATGTCCTCATCTAGAGCATCAAAAAATGCTGAACAAGACAGAGGACAGGACTTGTCACTAGAGACCTCCTTCCACACTGACAGTAATCCACTCATCAACATCCTACTGAGGCACGTTAAGAGCACAGACCAGATATCAGACAGACTTGGTTGGGTTCATACAGTTCCATCATTTAAGAACCTTGTGAGCCTCGTTTCTTAACTCCCCTAATTCTCAATTTCCTCATCTTGTAAATCAGAGATAATACCAGAACTACATAAATGACTAAATGAGAGATGATGACTACAGCTTGGGCTTCCTAGGTGGCTCAGCGGGTAAAGAATCCACCTGCAATGCAGGAGATACAGGAGATGAGGTTTCGATCCCCAGGTTGGAAAGATCCCCTGGAGAAGTGCATGGCAACCCACTCCAGTATTTTTGTCTGGAGAGTTCTCATGGACAGAGGAGCCTGGTGGGCTACAGTTCATGGGGTCGCAAAGTGTCGGACACGACTGAAGCGACTGAGTACACATGCATACACAACTATAGCTTAGCATTCATAAATAAAGGCAATTATTGATATTATTATTCACAAATTAAATCATATTTCTATGATGATTGAGAAGTAATTTTATCAAAAAAGAGTATGAGGAAAACAAAATATTATTCTGAACTAGTATGCCAGGCCAACCACCTTTAAAATTTTGTGCAGCATCACTCAAACTTCGTAAGCTATAGTCCTCAGGATCTACCTTTTCCCATTTTCCCCTTGTCTTCCAGAACACAACACAGATTCATGTTGTTCAACTCTGTCTGAATCCCACCATGTTTATCATTTTCCTTATTTATCTCTATGTAATTAGCTGCCCTGTTCTCTCAGAACTGTCCTACTCTTCAAGTGCTTCACACCCAACTGCAGAATTCATTTCCCCCCACGCTGAGGCTGATGCCACTGAAATAAATTCTCTTGCTTGTCTGTTCTTTACCTCAAAGGTTTTGCACACATTTCATCTTTTTTCTCATTTCCCTTTAGGGAAGTCTTCAGAGGGAGACGTCTCCTTTCCCTTCTTCAGAGCTACCATTTCAGAAGCTACCAGAGCTTCACCTTTGTTCTTAATCCTGTTTCCTTCACTTTTTCTCACAGAAGTTAAGGTCAGATGTGTGGCTTGTCTATGTGTGGTCTGTGAGCTAAGAATGGATTTTACATTTTTGAAAGATTATTTTAGAAAACAATAAGGAGTATTAAGAAGTAGAGACTGTTTGTAGCCAGCAAAATTTTAAATATTTACTATTTGGCCTTTTACAGGAAAAGTTTGCCAACCTCTGCTTTGGAATTCTGTCCCACCGATCTTCCTCCCCTCTCTTTTATGTTCATCGTTTAACAAATACGTACTGAGTTTCCACTATGTGCCTGACACTGCTCTGAGATCTGGAGCTTACTTTTTACCAAGGACAGGGAAGTTATGATGAAATACGAGCACGTATGTCAGACAGTGATTAGAGCCATGAAGAGGAGTAATGGAGGCAAGGGGGGCAGAGAGGACACGGCCACAGGAGGGAGGGGGTCGTAAGAGGCCCTGAAGCTCTGGAGGTGAGAATCACGTGGTTAGGGGCGACCTGCAGGCCCCGGGCTTCATGTGGTGATCGCCATGAACCGGGGTAAGTTTCCTGAGGTGGATGGCCTGAAGGCAGAGAGTGGCGGCATCAGCTCTCACTCCTACTAGTGGAGGAGCAGAGGAGAGGGGTGGCTAGGTCTTATGGAAGTACTCCTCTCTCCAGCCTCTATTTTCACTGCCACTTTCAGCCAAAGACATTATAAACACCTTCACTAATAACAAGAGGAGGAGGAGGAGGACTTGTCCAGTTTTTTCCTGGACCTTACATTCCTGTCAAACAAATGTCTAATCTCTCTCCTCTTGAAGAGGAGATCTGAATTAACTTCCCTGACTTCCTCTTCATGTAGCCCCAATTCCTTATAATCTGGTTTCCACTCCTCTCAGCCCAACTCCTGACTGCTAACGTCTCCTCTGTGTGTCCTGGCCCCCAGCAGCTGAAAGTCCCTTCTCTAGATTGAGCCCGCCAGGCCCCGTGCAGAGCAGGCTCCCTGCCTCAGAAGCTTCTGCTGCTCAGGTTTTGGTTTTGTTCTGTTGTCTTTTGGGCTAGTTCTCTCTACTGCACAGCTCTTAAACATGGCTACTTTCCAAGACTCTGCCATACTTGTTTTCTCTTTCCTTCCACTAGCATTCTCCTTATTAACCCATAATTCAAACAGTAAAAGCCCAGTTTCCTGAGCCTCCTTCTGGACTGTCTAGTTCTGTAAACAACTCCTTGCCTCCCTAGGCGTCAAGGAGGAAAGCTTTGCTTTCCAGTCCTCCCTCAGCCCTAAATGTGACTGTGTCCCTTTCTTGTCGCTTTATGATAAAGAAGGCTTAACTCTTCAGGATTTGGCCGCTGTCTAACACAGCTTCATTTTTCTTCCCTACGAGCACAATTCTAATCCTGCCAAACTGACTGCCAGCCTTTCAGCTTCTGGACCTCAGGAAAAGGGCTGTAGATGCTCCTCTACACTTGCAGCCATGTCCCAGCCCCACCCCTTAGAAATTTTAAACAATACTCCTAGAAAGGTCCCCCTGACAGACCCCTACTTTCCATCCCCACTCACTCACTGATCAGCACTCTCTTGTCGGCTGACTTGCCCTGACTGACTGAGGCGCCCCTTCTCCTCTCTGCTCCTAGACAACCCTGCACGGCTCTGGCTCCACTTCCTGCCTGTGTACACTCAGGTTGCTTATTTCTCCTTTTTCCTTATCCAGTGCTGTTCTTAGACCAAGGCAGGGAGACTTGGAGTAAGAGGCCTGTTATGGCCCCCCTCCGACTATACCCCTCACCCAGAATCCATGTCCCTCCTTTCAGACCAAAACTCAGGTACCCAAGACTCTTGAAATCCCCAGCCCAAAGGCCCTCAGCCAGCTTCCAGGGTCTCCACAGCCTCTTCAGTGGAGCTACTCTTCTGATGGATGCTGTCTTCAGGATGGAGAGGTGCTCAAAGGGTGAACATTTGTGGAGGATGTGAACAGAGCTTGGACCTGTCTGTCCAGGTATGGGATACAGCCACGGTAAGAAGTGGGTGGGAGATACCACAAGCTAGGGACTTCTGAGGAGTCTTAAGAACTCTGAATTTGAAACTCGCCTCCCAGACTGTTATAAAGGTATATTTTTCAAGACAAGAAAGCCAAGTAGAAAATACTAAGCAGTTTATTAGCTTGACTTATAACTTCTGAAAATCTAGACTTACAGTAGGTGGGCTTCCTATTGTACTGGGCTTCCCTGATAGCTCAGTTGGTAAAGAATCCTCCTGCAGTGCAGGAGACCCTGATTCAATTCCTGGGTCGGGAAGATCCACTGGAGAAGGGATAGGCTACCCACTCCAGTATTCTTGGGCTTCCCTTGTGGCTCAGCTGGTAAAGAATCCGCGTGCAATGCAGGAGACCTCGGGTTGATCCCTGGGTTGGGAAGATCCCCTGGAGA